TCATGTTAATCACCCCTGCAATAGAAAATCTTGATTGACCTTAAGATTAATGAACAGTATGGAAATGTCTCTTTCCCTTTTTCAAAACTTGTTAAAATCATATCCTCCAATTAAGTTGGAAATAATATCAATAATTGAAGAAAAATGTCATTTCATCCCTATTCATTTGCTTAGTTTGATAGGCTGAAACATTTACTTCACCTTAATCTCCATTTTTCAGCCCTGTTATCATTAATTTTAAAAGAGCCATAACTTTGTATTTGATAATGAGAACAAATATTTCATCTTCTTCTTAAATCATAAGACCATTAATTACATTCCATTATTTGAATTATAAAAAATTAAGATGGCAATTTATTATAATGGTAAAGCATAATGCATAATACATAATACAGACTATTAAATTAGCTCTTTTTATTGCCCGAGTCTTTGAGTAAGGCTTGGATCTTAGAACTACACGATGTCTAAGGGTACTAAAGTAGATAACAATTATTTTGTTATAGTTTCTTGCATCCTCCTTAAATCACTTTGATTTATTGTGAAAAATAGAGAAAAAGCGATTTGAATATTTGAAGTTTGAAATAGATGTATGTGAATATGAAGGTGATTTTTATTAAACAATTTTAATCTATGGGTAGGGCCAATTAAATTCTCATTTCAACATATTTCATTAATGAAAGAAATAGTCATTTCGTGCATCACTATTTAGATATATACATGAAGTTGCACTTTCGATATATATTATCATCCTTTGTAAGTAAAGAATTAATATTATTTTCATTCAGATATCAAATAATAATAAATCAAAGACTATGGATTGGGATAAAAAATAAAAAAACGATGGGAATCTAAAATTAAATTGTAATTATCTCCAAAATCTTTTCTTTCAACAACTTCTAAAGAGAAGCCTAATTTTTTTTGATTATATACAAAACATTCTTTTATGTAATCGCTTATTTTTACTATAAAATGATTAATTCAGATGCATAAATTAATGATAAAAATTAAACGTTATCTCATTAATTTGAAATGAATCAAATTATTAGTGAATTTCATTTGATATTGAAGTATTTTATAATTTAACAAAGTGGTAAAGTTCATTCT